ACTCGCGAGTCTCGACATTCTCAGTCCAGTTTGCTGACTGAGGCCATCGAAAAACTTCCAACTTCTCTGAAAGAAGTTGCTATGCTCTACCATGAGGCTCAACATGAACGTTGTGTTTCCTTTACTACTTCAGTGCTTCAATCTTCACAGGGTGGGAATCCAGGGCACTCGGAACTACATAGTTTGTCTCGCTGTCGTTTTTGTGAGTCGTATGACTATTTCATCACAACCATGTAACTTTGCGCACATGTTTTGCATGTTGTTGTTCCACCACGCCAGACTGCACGCTATCCGGCTATCCTAAGCCCTTCAGTCGCCGAGTTGCCCGTTTTTGAAGCATGCGCGCCCAAAACAGAGTTTGGCAGGCTGGCGATTTCAGGGAGCAGGAAGATGTCATGAAGGATGGGGCCCATGCTGCTGGTGCGCGTTTCTAAATCAGATAAGTCCCATCAGTTGAGCGACCTTAGCTGTTTGCCCCACCTATATAGACGCAACCAGCTTCGCTGAACTTCACTGAACGGCATGATGGGCCACTTGAACTCACTTTTGTAGACGTCAGTGTTCAGTGTTGATGAGTCCGGAGGGAAAGCGGTCCACATTCCCTACACATCAGAGGACATCCTGGAGTTTCATTTGGCAAACTCCCAGCGAGAAGCCGCAGCATGCTTAATGAGGTTGAGTCTTCCATTGCAGTTGCAATTGTGTTGCAAGACTGATTGCATGTGAGGTAGGTGCTTGCACGACTACATTTGGTGTTGCTCTGAGGCTGCGGCCACAGAGCAGGAGATTCGTGATCGTGTTCGAACGAACAAGAAGGAGGAGGGGTGCATAGCTGAGGAAGCCAACAGAAAACCGTTTCGCATGAGAGGGCGATGCGTAGGGCTGCTGAGTTCAGACCTAAGATGGCCAACTAAAAAAGGATTAACAAAGGAAGATGAGGGTTGAGGGCCCCGTTTAAAGGAAGCCTCATCATTCAAAGGTGCCCTTACCCTTGCCTTCTACTCCCTACAAGAAGCCTTGGCTGAGACAATTTTGCAGGAGGCGCCTTGCCTTCTCCGCGTGGCCTCTGTTTTCTATGCTATGGGTGCCATGGAGGGCGCTAGGACACTGGTTGAAGAGGCCACGAGTTCTTGGTTATTCTGCACTCCTTCATTTGAGACCCGGACGAACACGTTGCATGTAACCCTGTATCTTACTGTAATTTGCTTAAGCCGGCTTAAGCATCTCCCAAGAGCTGGCCAAACACAATGCTGCAGGAGCTCTTCTGATATTATTGTCTCACTTTTACCATAGGCCTCAATAGAATTGCAGTAACAATCACCAGCCTAGCACGGCATATACACTGATACTGTTACTTGTGTTCTTGAGCTTTTAGTTCCTCTCCATTTAATCCAGTCCATATTGGAGTATGCTGGCAAAGCCACAACGTGCCATGTTGTCCGGGTTTTAGGAAAGTCGCAAAAGTGCCCCACAAGTGATGAATAGTACCTTCGTCTGGCAAGATATGCTACCAGGTCCTAGTCTTCAATCTGCTACTCCTGGAGCATGCCACGTTGTGATTCGGGTGTGTGCTCCCGCGGTCGCACCACAGGCAGTTGCTTCATTCACAAGCTTGGCAGATCAGGTACGCCGAACAGCGTTGATTTGCAATGAATGACATGAATGCAGTATATTGAACACACGAATGCTCTATGTTGAAATGTTCCATGTTTGATGACTGGACTTCAACAACAATTGCGCTGTGTGAAGCATGGCATTTGCTCCGTTAATGGTTTGGGGGTTGTCAGAACCGCCAGCAGCACCAAATGTGTTCATGTCAAGGGTATGTCACCGAATTGCCATGCCAGTGGAATGTCAACGGTAGCGGAATGATCTTCACAAGCTTGCATCAAACTTCTAGATCCTGGTATATGATTGTAATCAACTACTGAATACGGCCTGGTGTGAAGAGTCAAGAGGGTTCCGGGTTCCTTGGACACTTCAGGCTGGGCAAGTGAAAGCACTGCGGTCGCTGGCCGTGCTGTACTTGGCGCCTCTTAGCTGCCAAGTAGGGTTGTCACAAACTTTGCTTCGGAGAATGAGACAGGACGGACACTTCTGGACTCTCTTCTTGAATGGTGGCTTGCGGGCTGTAGAAAATTGATGTGTCGGACTGGGTGGGTAAGCTCAAAAAGTCTGTTGCTGGCTAGTCTCTAAATTGGGAACTGCAGGCCAGATTTTACTAGCTGCTTTGTTTGGGAGTAAAACATGGTCTAGGTCAGAAAATGGAATAGGGCATCACTGTAACTGTTTGCCTGCGTGTTGCGAAAGGATTTGATGAACATTTGGAAAGTGTCCAAAGAAGTTTTGCTGGGGTCCTGTTTTGTCAAAGGAACTTGGACAGCCAGATAAATTCAAGAACAACTGGACTGAACCACAACACCTGAAGATTCCAGATACATTGCACAAGCCAGGATGTCTTTGAAATCCCATGCTTTGAATAGACAGCAGCCAAGCAACCAAAAGGCACACACCTTGTGAATAAGACAATATACTGCAAAGTTGTGAACATAGAGAGAGAGAGAGAGAGAAACATATAAGAAGATACAATAGCAAGAAAAGAGAGGGCAGAACCATTGAGGCTAGAGAGAAAAAGGTAATAGAGGCTGAAGATACAGTAGACAGGAAAGGATAGATGTGAGGGAAGCAAGCTTTTTTAGTAATTTTTCCCAGATAGCGAAGCTATAGGGGTTCTTACTTCTCAATGGATGGGTTCCTGATTGCGGAAATTGGCTGCCGCTGCCGCTGCCGCCTTGTCTCCCAAGCTTGTCTCCCTTCATGATTTCGCTCTTGGCTGCCGCTGCC